ATATAAAGAACCAATAACATTATGAAAATTAGTATCGTACCTTATTTTATATAATATTAAGTAACGGGACGATCAAGTCGTCCGCCTGATGGCAAGTTACATTCCTGTTCATAACTAGAGATGGGAAAAACTGCTTATTTTACAAACGTTGAAACTTTGTAGCTTTTTCAAAGTCAAAGATTATTTATTCCATAAGTAAAATAAATTTACACTTGAAAACGTCACATTTAAGCTACTGCTCGTTCACTACGCTGACCTCCCTGAGAAGAACGAGCAAGAAACTCTAGGGATTGCTCTTTTCAAATAAACTTAAATGCTATGGAATACACTTTGAATCAAATTTGTGTGGATTCCGGAGCCATGTCGTCTTTCCATACATCTTTATCTAACACGTAGTCTTCAATCTTGTAATATGATTTTTCGATCAAAATGTTTTTAATGTAGTTTTTAAACTTAGGAAATGATAAACTTAATATATGCTCCGGAATCTTATTGTAAAAACGTATACAGTTCCCCATAAAAGAGTTGTTTACCTTGGTTAAACGAAATCGTGGTACCATGAATTTGGACTTGGCTCTAAGGTTAATATTATGGATATCTTCTTATTGAAATTATGTATATTTTTACGGGCATATAAAATATTTGAGTAAATGTACTGTGATGCCAAAGTCATGATACCAGTCTCCTTAAACTTTCCTCTGAGAGAAACGCGAGAGCCTAGACGGTACACAGAACGAATCGCTCGTTTTTGCAATACAAAAATATGGTTTGAATATCTGCCGCTTTACCCCACATGAGAATACCGTAGGACATTATACTATGGAAGTAACTAAAGCAAACTAGTCTAGCAGTACTAACATCGGTAAGCTCACGTATTCTGCGGATTGCGTATGCAGCGGAGCTTAATCTGCTGGCCAGGGAAGGTATATGTCGATTGTGGAAATGGCGCGCTTTTTTAGACATTTTTAACTAAAACACTTTTTAGTTCGAAGCTTACAAAATAATTTCATAGATTTTTATGTTAAAAAAATCTTGCAATATTGTGTTGATAGCGAAAAGTAAGTACACCACTAAAGTTTGAAGTTAAGTAAGTTTATTTGTGAAACAGTAAAACACGGGTTTTATTTTTATTTATAAAATTATTCGATGCTTATTTATTTTATTTGTAAGAAGAAGAAGATTCACACTGACGAATTAATTTGTTTAGGAAACATAAATGGCGGGACTTGAAACTTAGGCACGTTGTAAAAAATGAAATTGTTGAGTATAGAACTGATCAACGCTTAGCAGAGCTTTGAATCGCAAAGATCTGAGGGGCACTGCCACTGCGCCCGTTACTCTGAGACATAAGTTAACCAGTCCCATGTGCTTGTAATTTCACCAGCACGCTTACCCTTCAAAACCGGAACGCAGTGATGGTCACATAGGTAAGGTGGCAGCACTTCCCTGGACAAACTTTTTCACAAGGAGCTCTATGTTGACTGAAAAATATTCGCTACTAACGATATTACTAAACAATAAACATTTTGTTATTACAAAACATTTAGTTGTATATAGTTTTTGCTCTCGAAACCCGGTGTTAACAAACGCTGGGTTAAAACGCGTGCGCTTGCCTTCTCTGGTTGTTAGTGCCTTTGGAGTACACTAAATGCAGTAGGTTTCTTTTATTTAAAATCAGGAGCTATATTCCTCTACCTCAGTATTTTACCACAAGAGCTTTGACGTAATCGCGGTCAAAATATATAACAGCATCCTGAATGAATTTAAAAAAATCGAGTACGTAAAATTTTAAAATGCTCTTAGTAAATGGTTGAATACTAAACTTTATAATCTCAGTACAGAGTACTAAAAAAACCGACCTCAAAAGTACGTGGAATTATGTCTATTTGCTAAGTTTTATTGAAATATCCCCTAGTTCGCCACTATACAAGACTTGACACTGGAGATAATAAAAATAGGTTCTCACTACGACCCTGCTCAAAGTATACTGAAAGAAATACGCCTTGAATGGGAGTAATAGCAAAATCAACCAATTAAAATCAAAAGTAATTGCTCCTAAATTAAAGTTAGGCGCTATTTATAAAAATGAATCTTCATGCGTGAACAGCCATCCTTTGAAGTAGATGATTTTCTTCAAAATGAAATGGGACCACTTTGGAAGTACCCCCTTTCCAACAAAAAAAGAATTATGGAAATCGGTTCACAAATACTGGAGTTATCGCGTATCATACATACAAAAAAAAACATACAGTCGAATTGAGAACCTCCTCCTTTTTTGAAGTCGGTTAATTAATGTGTACTAGAGTTTTATTGTTGACGCCAACGACAAATTTGGTGACTAGCGATGCGACATGTTTATTAATAATTGATTTTTTCTTTCATATTGTAATGCAATTAAATTTTTAACCGACTTCAAAAAAAGGAGGAAATTCTCAATTCGACTGTATGTTTTTTTTTGTATGTATGTTACGCGATAACTCTGATATTTGTGAACAGATTTTCATGATTCTTTTTTTATTGGAAAGAGGGTACCTCCATAGTGGTCCCATTTAATTTTGATGAAAATCATCCACCTGTTCAAGCATGAAGATTCATTTTTATAAATAGCGCCTAAATTTTATTATAAGCAGCAATTATTTTAATGGTTGATTTTGCTATTCTCCAATTCAAGGCGTTTTTCTCTCAATATACTTTGAGTAGTGAGAACCGATTTTTATTATCTCCAGTGTCAAGTATTACTACTAACTATAGGGGTATAGTGGCGAACTAGGGGATGAATCCAGGTTTACGCACTTTCCGGTAACCGATTTCAATTAAACTTGGTAATTATATGTACTTCCACGTACTTTTGAGGTCGGTTTTTTTAGTACTCTGTACTGAGATTATAATCTGTGACATTTAATAATGTTGTACACCTTACCTGGTAGACTATAGAGCACAAACTAATGTAATATTTTAAGATCTTATATAATTAGTAGTAATTACCTATAGTTATGCAAGAAATGTATTCTTTAGACAGCGTAGTCGGGTATTTAGTACCTATTTGATACACCAGATGTCGCGACGAGTACCAAATAGCTATTTTTGTAATTAATTTGTTTTACATTGACTAGCTGCAATTTATCAAAGCTTCTCTAATTTCTAGATGGCGCTTATTGAACAGATTCTTGTGGGTGGTGCCGGCTATTCTTTTATTTTGTTTAGGACTAGCGCCATCTATCCATATTAGGAAGCGTTAATTTATAAATTAGTTTGTAACACACAATGCCATCTATTGACACGCATATTTGTCAAAGTTTAGACAATAAATTTAGTTCGTGGTCAATATTTGAATTTTTTTTTTATATTATGTAGGCAGCAAACAAGCATACGGCCCGCCTGATGAAAGCGGTTACCGTCGCCTATGTACAACACCAGGGCGTGTGCGTTGCCGACCCATTAGAACCCTTCTCAAACCCCTTTTGAAGGACTCCATGCTGTATTCTTGCGGGAAAACCCCGACACGGACTTCATTCCACAACCTAACTGTACGTGGGTGAAAGCTGCTCTGAAACCGCACAGTACGAGATCGACTCGTTTCCAAAGTTAGCATCATGTCAAACAGTTCTTCAGAACATTGGTCATTGTAGAAGCGATAGAACAGGCATAGGGAGGCAAAGTCTCTCCTCCAAGACAGTGGTTTAATATCGTCTGTAAGCACAGGATCGTCAACAATTCTCGTAGCACGTCTTTGAACCGCGTCAAAGGGCCCAAACTGGCATCCAGGAGCTCCCGCCCAAAGATGGCAGCAGTATTCCATGTGGGCACGAACTTGTGACTTATAAAATAGCAGTCTCTGCTCCGAAGTGAAATACCGCTTGAATAATATTACAAGGAACAAACCGACCACTTTTTAATTAACCGACTTCAAAAAAAGGAGGAGGTTATACTTTCGGCTGTATGTATGTTTTCCAAATTCTAAAAATTTTAGCAGACTGTGGTATGGTATGGTATAACGGCCCGTTGTTCGCAACTCCACGTCCAAGCGCCTATTTTGCGTGTAGTAGGTGCAGGGTCCTACTCGTGCCACCCAAGCTCCTTCAAACAATCTTAGAACCTTTCTGGGTTTTCCAACTACTTCTGGGAGCGACCTCGGTACTCCAAGGTATTGTGCCCTGTAGTTGGCAGTTTGTTGTAGTTTTAGCAGACTTAACAGATATTATCATAATTGCAATGGTATCTTAATAGGGTCTCAATGGAATTAGTAGCGATAGTAGAATGATCTAGTCCCCTTTCAGTCTAATGTTTGAAATGAAATACTGTTCTCCTTGTCATACATAACACATTTGAATTATATAGAGGTAACGATACTGGTTTGTTCAGTTATTGTAGAATAATCAGTGTTTATGATAAAGTCAAGTTGTCTATTTTAACTGCATTTAAATATGTACAAAATTTAATTGCATATCAGAGACCAAACAACTTAAGAATCTTAAATAGTAACAAATATAAACAAATAATGTGTACAGTAGTCAGAAATTAGAGTATGTAATTCCTGAATTACTGAATGAATTGCCTGCGTGCATTCAATGTTTGTATTTGGAGGGAGACTGTAAAAAACAAAGTAAAAAAAATATTTGTTGGAGTGAATCGCTGTGGACGGATAAACCTGCAGTGGTTTTTAGAGCTCCAGCTGCATGTATTAGCCTTTAGTCAAATAAATGAAGAATAAAATAATATGAAAGAAAGAAAATTGCGGTAACTTTTGAGAATATAATTTTTAAATGAGCTTTTGAGAAATTTATTGGGCATTGTGTTTTGTTTTACCTGAAACTAAATAAAATAAGCTGGAGCTTGCAGATCTCGTTTCGTTAATCCAAGAGAATACGCTAATAACTCAATGTCGCTAAATATGTCGATTATGTTAGTTATGATAACCAAGGCAGAATGTTACTTGAAGTACCAACGGCAGCACATCAAGGTATACGTGACAGATCTTGCTCAGTTGCTCTGGTGGCGATATTCAAAATAGTGTCTAGCTTAATGTGCTGTTGACTGTACCTTCATAAATTTTGTTTTTATGATTTGAAGTCTATGAACAAGTTTTGATAGTGTATATAAAATTTTGTAAGCTTGCATTCTCGCATCGAGAGACACTTCCTCCCTGTATATAATCAAAGAAATATGATGCTTAACCCAAAATAAAACCAACCAACTTGAACTTAGCTTGTAATGAAAAAACTTATTTCAGAATAGGGCTTAAGAGCTAAAATACACAGGTATTTCACGATTTTATCGCCGTCCACGGCCTCTGCCTCCGCGTCCGCCTCTCGGGCCGCCTCTGCCTCCGCGGCCGCGGCCTCTTCCACCTCTAGCTCCTCCACCTCTTGGGAAGCCTTCACGTTTGCCACGTCCTTTTGGCGCATCGTCGATCAGTAACGTCTCAAGTGGGAGACTGTCAGGCAAGAGGAAATACCGAATGTTATTTCCACGTATGCTTAAGGTCTCCAGCTGCAGCTCTTCACGATTTTTTAATGTAACTTTAACAGCCTTCAAATGTGTATTCATAGCTACGTCCACTCCAGTTATTGTTCCGTGCACAACACTACCGTTTTTTAGCTCAATTGTCACTGTCTCGTGACTTAATTTCATAAGAAACCGAACTAGCTTCATTTTTTTGGTTTTTATCGACTATCTTATTGTAAAAACAAAGGCGGCGTCGGTTCAGAAAAATAACCTCAATTGTCGCAAGTCGGCAAACATAAATATGGCGGTTTGGAAGATGTTGCCAGTAAAAAAAAAATCTACTACTTTTTTGTAAATATGATTGACCGCATATAATTTTCTATTTCTGTGAAATGTTGTCTGTTTTGATCTGTGTGTCGATTTTGGAGTCCATTTTGTGACAGTACAATATTTTATATATTACTTAAACTTTACAAGCGGAAAGACTAATCATATAATAAAGATCAAACAGTTTCCAAGATACGGTGTTTAATCTTTATTAATCTTGACTACGGAGTTGAAAATATAAAAAAACATCAAAATGATGCAGGGCGTAGGTGCTGCAGTTCATACAGGTAAAATTTTTAGTTTTTTTTTAGTTTTACTATACCCGTTATTTTTTCTGTTACGGGACTTTAGATTTTCCTCCGACAAATTCCGTTATATTATCTCGACGAATAGTATACGCGTAACGTTGTGGTGCAATTTGGTATAGAACTTTGACTGTTACATAAGGTTTTCAAGTTTTCTTTACTGAACGAAAAGGAAATTAAAGTGTGATTGTAGATAAATACTAATGAATTGAATTAACTTTTGTTATCCTCAGAAACGGTGTAGGTACCATCTTTTTAATAGTATTACTTCCCTAATAAAAAAGTTGTCATGCAAGTTTATTATTATTCTTGTATTACCATTCACGGTAAAGATTATTTTTAAGGAGCTGACGGAGCCCCAGTGGATTTTGATCTTGCTGATATTGATATAGAACTCGAAGAAGAAACAGAAGAGGTGAAGAAAGAAATCAACGTCGTCCCCAAATTTATGTGGACTAAACAACAGGTGATTAAAAAAGCTAGTAAAACTCTCCACTCTTCGAATATAATGTGGTGCGTAGGTTGTAACTTTAGCCTTTAAAAAAGCAAATTCAAAACCATATCAAGCAGATTCCATAATTGAGATCACCTTTGTTGATAACGCTGTCCCATCCACCTCAAACGGACCAGGAACTCCTTCGGTATCCTTCTTTTCTTTGAAACTTAAATGTTCTGGTTTATTGATTCAGGAAGTACATTGGATAGGTGGACTGTATATTTCCATAAAACATTTCTATGTCCATACTGAACATGATTACAAATGAATTACGAATGCGACAATGACAATAATTTTTACTTATATTTATACTGACACGGTGCCTCCCACATCGTACCGGCCTTATTAATTCGCCGCGGACCGGACGCCGCTCGGCCAATCAGAGCTCCTGAATTACTCATTATTGCTCTGACCGGCCAGACGCGTACGGCCGTGCGTAACAACATTGGTATATTAAAAATAATAAAAACATGACACTCTGTTCGCAATAGATTATTTATAGTAACATCTCCTGAATCGCACACATACGTAAAAAATAGCATCTGATCGCAAAAGATTGGTATTTTCTTACATTTTTTCGTATTTTATGCAACCTCATATTATCAACAGATAAAGATATATACATTCTCAATTGTGAAGCATTTTACGTACCTACCTACCACATTTACATAACTTAGTCACGGAAGAAAAAAAACCATGGAAGTGCCTTAAGTTTAAGCCTCGATTACCATCAGATCCTCTTTCGTAAAAACTCACAAATTCTTCATTTGAAACACTATGAAATCTTGTTAATGATTGGTCGTAGTTTCAAATTTAAAAAGAAATCACAATTTCTGGACTATCATAATTTAAAGTTGCCCCTATAGGCATATCGTTGAAAGCTCAATACCATCAATACCTGTTATTGCAAGTTACGACGTTTTGATTTTATATTGAAACTTCAATCAATATGCTGCCATCTAGTAGTTAATAGCTGAACGACGACGAATTCGAGATGCTTACTTAGTTCGCCATAAAAAAGAAGACTATATTGCAGCGGTGTAAGATTTCGTTTCGTGTAACAAAATAATGATTACAGATCATTGAGAATTTGTTAAAATTAAATGATAAGACTTAATAGTGATATGAAACACCATCATAGATAATATTACAAGTGCGAATATCATTTTTCTGGACTCCAAAGTAGCGACGTAAGTATTTTTTCTACGATTTTCGAGGTATTGCGCAAGAAATTTACACGACCATAACATACAAGCGAAAATGGCAGACTGAACTCCGCGAAATGTTAGCACGCGTGACACGCAAACTTAGCACATCTACTGTAGGTTTTTTTTTAATAACATCAAGAGACGAGCACGAACAGGTCGTGCGCCCGATGGTAAGTTACACGTCTATCTTTAACGGTTACAGTGCCACTGCAAAGATCTGAGGGGTACTACCACTGCGCCCAACACCGTGAGACTTAAGTTGACAAGTCCCATGTTCCTGTAATTTCACCAGCTTCCTTACCCTTCAAAACCGGAACACAGTAATGCTGACATTACTGATTCGCGGCAGAAATAGGTAAGGTGGCAGTACTACCCTGGACGAACTCTTTCACAAGGAGCTGTACTGCTATTAATGTATTAAGTATATGGTATTTATTGTTCTGCGCTACAGCAATATTAAAAGTTAATAGTTTATAGGTAAAGCTCTATTATCGTAACCACGTAGTTTTTGTTACCTACTAGTTTATATAATATCTGTAAACTTATGTGATAAATAATAAAAAAAAACAGATTAAATACCTACTGATTACGAATTGATTTCGCAGAATTTCTGAGTACCCTGAAACTCACTACAACTTGTATTCCAAAAGCAGAAAAGATCTACAATCTTAAAAAAAAATCACAAAGTCACCCAAAGGATCTCACGGCGCGCTTGTAATGATATAATCTCAAAGCAACAAACAATATCTTGGCACAAAACCATTAATACTGCTACTGAAAAACATCTTTCAAAAGCAAGAACAACGGAAAGTAAAAGCAATGGAAGGTGTCGCATGGGAAATAGATCTCGGGTCTCAGTCTCGCAGGACTGAATCACTAACAATCACGAAACAAGCGAGTGGAAGCCTAACCGATGCAAAGGACTATAATAAAGTCCCTGAAGTCAATCCAGTTCAGGCAAAACTGAGATTCACTCCAGAACAGGTTCACTCTGATAGACATTTATTGTCAGAAATTATTATTGCCAAGTCATTTAGCTAGTGAATTAGGTCTTTAACCAAAAGATTAAGCCACCTTTATCAAATAGGTGATTAATGGCAATGAAGAATTTGTCACGAATCAATAAAGGCGGCTCCTCAGGATCGATAGGTATTAAGCAGGTTTGTGAAGAGATCTCAGGTACTGAAGCTACATCAACTGCTCTTGTCACGACCGCAGTTAAAATGAAACATTGGTGACCAATTCAATAAAGATGGCTAAATTTCTCTGGGTATATAACGGAATCCACTTGCCAAAATATATCAATATTTTGCGTGTGTACATCAGTACACACGCCAGCACATCAAGCTACATATTGACGTATCTTGTTTCGTTGCTCTGGAGGCGATTTTCGAACAAAAATGTGTAATCTGGTGTGCCATTGTCCGTACATTATAAAATTTACTGGAATAGATCAATGCACCTTGCTCCCTTGAAACAACCAGTAAAACGTGTTTGCAATGCAAATCCTTTTTTACTGCTACGTTCTTAGGAGCTGCACTCGGATTTGTGACAGTAAATTGTTATTCAAAATCTGGAAAGTTGTTAGGAATGATGGAATTAAATTAGTGACATGAATGATCGTTTTGTCGGTTAAAGAAACATATTTTTTTAAATTCCGCGTCGTCACACGAATACAAATTTAATATTAGCAGCGTCGTCTTGTACAGTGAATAATTGTTTAATTACTTTTATATTTCTTACAGGAAGAAGATCTTTTGAAAGCGTTCAATCTTCTCGATCACACTGGAGAAGGAAAGATCAAGGCTGACGATTTTCGCGTCGCTATTAAAGCATTAGGTGAAAACTTGTTCAGTAGTTTTTTTACACATATTGGTAACAATCAGGGTATACTTAAGAGGGAGCATGCCAAAAAGTTTTGACGTTGGCTCCTTGGTTGGTTTTGTGAGACAAATATATGCCTGAAGTTCGCGGGACATGCGACAGGAGATGTTGAATTTTGCGCATTAAAAGTACCAAATTCGTTTTAGCGGAATAACTCTAAAACTAAATGGATTAAAAAAAATCCGTAGTGACAGATCTCGATCATGCATAAATATAATTAATTATCTAATTTTTGTCCTAATAACCTGTAGCATTTCGAGGATATATCGAAAAAATGTGAAAATTTCGTGATTTTTATCTATCGAGGAAACTTTATTGTTTTATGTTTCTGATTAGTGTCTATGCTTGATTAATCTTCAATCTCGGAATACATTGATAAAAACAAATAAATTACGTAAACAAAACCATGGTTATAAAACTAGATTTCGTATTTGTGTGAGTTATTGAGCAGTTTCGGAGATTTCTACTGGGAAGATAGCAGTTCTATTTAATTAAGCGTGACAAAAATAATAAATGTTCTTTATTTAGAGCGGTTACACACGACGACTTTTAGCAGTGCTGCAAAAGCGATGCAGTCGCTGATCCTCTACTTTTACAAGCCGCGCGCGATTTTAAGCAGCGATGCAAACACGATACAAACGCGATGCAATCCCCTATAAATCGCAATTGTAGCGATGCAATCGCGCGTTTGCATGGATAGATAGATAAAGCATTTATTCAGCACATTCCATCACAGCATTACATATAACAAGAAAAGGAAAGTTACAACAAATAATGTTCTGAAAAGGATTCGGCTCAGCACAATGCTTCCAACTTTATACGTTTGCAGCGCTGATATTCTGCCGATTCCTAAAGTTGTGCAAGCAACACTACAAATCCGCTACTATTACAGATGGAATAAGAAAGCCTTCAAGGTCGAACTGCTCAAAAAGCATTGCATACTACCTCTATATTAGTTGACGTGTCACAGCAGTGCACCAATAAAATGCTTAAGCATGGGCGCCACCAATTTGTTACTAAACATTTTAAGCATATTGTGACAGCTGTTACTAGTCCTCTGTAGTAAGGGTATTTCTTCCTAATCATAGCACAAAAAGAGTTTGTTTACATTTGTATTCGCGTTCTGATGCACTTCAGAAACGAGGAAAGACCAAGAATACCCTGAATCCGTTATTATATTATATCAAATGTATTTTTAAACGTATTTGATCGAACATTAAGCAAAATGGTGGTGGATTGCCTACTTGTGATGATATTTCATTCCTCAGGCTATGAACCGACAAAAGAAGAGCTGCAGCATATGGTGAATGAAGTAGACAAGGGCCACTCAGGCAAGCTGAGCTTTGAGAACTTCTCAACTGCGATCGCTCGAAAAGTGATGTCTCGGGACTCTGATGTTGATGTCATGAAAAGTTTTAGACTTTTCGACAACGACGATGTTGGTACGTTCCTTAATGTTGCACCAAAATAGCTCAACTAGCTGTTTCCCGTCGTTTCGTTCGCTTAGAGGATGGAATTGAATACCACTACGGACTATATGGACGGCTTCAATACGTGAAGCCGCCCAGAAAAACTTTGTCTTATTTATGGTTAAGGATATAAAGTTTTTCTGGCCCAGTAAGGTTGTTTCTGCGTTAGTAGGTGGATGAGTCTCTACAAGGCGAATCAATAAAGTAATCAAGGTTCGCGGAAAGCCACTGCCAGCGGCACAGGACCGTTCAAAATGGCGATCTTTGGCGGAGTTTTGTGCTAAGACGACAATGATTCTTGTAATTACAATTAAATCTCCACCATTTTGAGATTTATTTACTGCTAGCAACAAAAGACGATGCCAAGATCCCAGAAGCAAAATTGTAATTTAAATCTAAATGTTGTGAGCTCTGTATTCCGTTTTAATCTGTATTTATATTACACAATTTTATCTTATATTATAAAGATGATGATGAAAATATTATAGTGATGCATAAACAGAGCCTTGAACACCGCCGTAAACTGTTTATCGCCTGTTTATCGATATTCTACAGGATAGGTATATCACGGAAAGTGTGCTATGGAATTGCATAATTTAATTCCACCTTTCCCTTTTCATCATCGGGGGACTAGACATGGGCTGGGGTTTCCACCCCTATGTTGTGGATATTCCTAAGATTCGCACGAAGCGTTTTTCTTCCACATTTATATGGCGAGCGACTGGGGAGTGGAATTCCCTGCATGCGGACTTGTTTCCTGAATGCTATAACTTGGACCTTTTCAAGGCGAGAATGAATTGGCATTATTTAGGTGTGCATGTTACATCAGGTGAGATGGATGTCATCAAAAAAATCGAAAATACTTCAATATGTAACTACAGTATCTGCTCGTCAGTTGATATTATGTGACATTTTCTTTTTCTCTTTTTAAGTAACACTTTTTTAACTGTCAAACGCGAGTTTCGAACACAAGTAAAATAAAATTAATGTAACTTATTCAGGTCTCATCAGTTTTGAAAATTTAAAACGGGTGACTCAAGTAATTGGCACTTATTTAACCGACGAGGAAATAGAGGAAATGATTGACGACGCTGACAAAGACTATGATGGATATGTAAGTTTATTTTATTTATTTGTTTGTCTAAAATGAATACCAACAGCTTCAAACTAAATTAAATAATAATACTCGTAGCAGCAACTGAGAACTTGAATAATTTAATTAAGCTGTAATTTAAGCAGGTGAAATTATAGGCACATGGGACTTTTCAACTTATGTCTCAGGGCGCAGAGGCAGTGCCTCTCAGATCTTTGCGATTTAAAGCCCTGTGTGACACTGCATTTGCTATGGACAGGCGTGTCGCTTACCACCAGGCGCACGACTTGTTCGTCCCGCACTTGGTATCTTAAAAAAGACCAGTGCCCAGCATAAGGTCTTCCATTATAAGTCGGAACTGCTGCGGGGCAAAACCATTGCTTTTTTTAACGCACACACTCAACATAGCATTGCTTGTTGATATTTTTGGGGTAATATACGACTGTAATAACTACTACATCGTCATACAACTGCATACCGAACGGTTTGGTAACCGTTCGGTATGCAGCTAGTCTCCACGCAGAGGTCCCGGTCTCGATTCTCGGATTGGGAGAAATATTTCGATAGCTCCAACATAAGTTGTAAGTCAAAATACCATTTTTACTTTTGCAAATTATAGGCTCCATATTTAAAAGTAAAGAGGTCACTTCGTGTTATGTTTACTTTCAAACATGGAACTTACAATATACATAAAAAATATTTAAGTTAAAAAGATGCTATTTTGACCTACAAAAATTTACGTGTGAGGTATGGATTTCTATGGCCTATATTTATTTATCTCGGTAGTTTGGGTGTAACATGGTTGTAACTTGTGGTTCAAATCAGACGCTTGTAGAAGAACAGCAGTGGCGCAATTGTGGTGCGCCAGTCAAGCGTCTGTAGCACTTCAGTTATTTTTACTTCAAATTGTGACTGCAGAAGAAGCATGTGCGTGTCACGAGCAACACGTGCAACTGAGCTTTTAAATATCGTTTGAAAATTGATGCGACTGCTTCGCCATGGCAGTGCTTCCATAAGCATCTAATTTGAAGGCTCCCTTAGAGGGAATTCTCAGTTAGCGATGGGACGACTTTTTTCAACTCGAGTTACTCGAGTCGACGTGAATTACCGCGAGGCGCGAGTAGAACCGCGACTGGATCGTGCTCCTAAGGTCATTGAACCGATCGGGTGATATCGAGTAGCCAGTGCGCTGTATGAATGAAGTATTCGTCTCGGCGCGGCGGCGGCGCGGGTATCAAACCGTGTTAGCTCGAGTTCCTATAAAACTAACTTGAGTTGACTCGTTATTGGGGCAAGAGTAACTCGAGTTAATAACTCGACTCATGCATCGCTACTCTCAGTGATACTTGTGATAGCAATATAATATAATGTAATATAATTATATTGCTATATAATGTGTACGGCAGTTAGTGACTTCTCCCATTACACCGACGGTTTGCAAACTTGTAATGTGTTCTGAATTTTTCAGGTCAGTGTGAAGGAATTCATGAGGATGATAAGGAATGCAGTTAAAATTGTCACTCCTTAATTTGAAAATAATCAACGTCTCTTAATATACAAATGTAATTTAATTTATCTTTAGTTTACTGAATATTTCTTAGTCTTATTGTTTACTGCAATAAATTCCACCACATTAACGTATTTTTTTTAAATGGCAATCCCAAATTTTAAAAGGTACTTTATCCTATACAAGGCGACAATGTAGTTTTTTGTATTAATGACGTTTCCTCGTTTCGTAGTGGATTTGATTTCTCTTTTTATTTTCAAAATGTTTAAATGAAAATACTGTAATTTAAACTCATCAATAATGTACTTTTGTCATCATTTTTTATTGAGATACATTATACCACTTGGTACTTGGTACTTGGTGCAACGGGCTGGTATCCGCAACTCGACGACAAAGCGCCTATTTTGCGTGCGTTACATTATACCCACAAACTAATAAGAGTTACTACGTAACAGACCGCCAAGTGCCATATATTGTCTTTAAGACGTAGTGCACGTTAAGAACATGACATTATTTTTTTTAATATTGGTATAACCCGTAGGTGGATATTCTGTATCTATAGTATTACGGCATCGGAATAGACTTTTTTTTAATTTGTAGGCAACGGTAACGTTTATTCAGCCGCAGCAAGTACCACCAGGGTACATACCAGCTACCTGTATTGTACTATAGAATTAAAACTGTTCGAATTTATAATAAATAAAACAAGTCTTAGAAATTCTTTTTAATGTTATTTATTGAATTTTTTGTTTTTAATTTTTTTCTTAAATTTATTCAATGTACACACAATGCTACAGGTTGCTGCCATTTACAGACAGCGCCTCGTAACATTAAAACAAGAACGTGGTCTGTAAAGCTGTTGGTTTTTCCATTTAAATCAACAAATCCAACAATGTCGTCCTTGTAATTTGAATATGTTAGAGCAGTTTCTAGTGACATTTCATCAAATAGCACTGTACACAATCTTCTTTTGCTGTCCCAGCTTTTTACCTGTAATTTTATAGTAAAATATAAGTTTTTCATAATTTTATTACATACTACCAATATTTACAACACTTGCTAAGTAATTATTAAATATTTACCTGATTTTTTATAAGGTCGAATATTTGTGGATTTATGCCAGCACCAATATTTAGTTGGCTTATCAAGTTCTTCAAAGTTGATTTTGAAGGCAAAATGAATATCTTTTGGAGAAACTTGTAACATTTTGGACCTTGCTTGTAAATTGAAAGAGCAATAAGTTTCTCTTCGGTTGTAAACCTTCTGGCCATCTTTTTTTTCATGTAAAGTTTCATTTGCATTGACAGAACATTTCTCGACAATGGGTTCATCTTATTTAGAACTTCTTCTAAACACTCAGTTTTACTGAAGGCCAGTCAGTGCCCTTTTGACTTGTGTGTTGTATTCTTTTTGGTTTCTAACCTTTTTATGTTCATTGTATAAAAGTTTGCACCTCGGTGTTAAGGCCTTTACATTCTTAATAAGCCTTCTTTTGACTACTTTTCGTGGTGTTTTACATATTGAGGCTAAAAAGATACAGTACATGTTTTATAAAATATAATAAAAGAAGTAAAACTAGTATTCCTGTTAACAAACAAAATATGTTTGTGCTTTCATAAACAATAATTATTTATTCAACTTCAAATATTACCTGATGCATAGTGCAGTGCGGAACTTGATGATGCAACGGGCACAAGTTGACCTGGTATTGTAGGCAAGACATATGTATCTGCAATGAAATAATTCATATTAATATGCTTCTTCTTTTGCGATCACATAAAACATAGAAAAGGATGATACACATACCAGAAACCTCAGTTTGTGCACCTTTATTAGGTTTTTGCTCATAAGGTAGTGTATACGAGTGATCAATGTGTCGCTTCCTTGAGTAACTGTGGTCACTGAATATATCTAAAAAAATAATAGATAATAGGTCATTAACACATTACAGAAACAGACACCTTCAATAAGTCTAGAAAATGAAATTTCTCTATACATAACTGCCAGTCAGTGTGATGTACAGTCAACAGCACATCAAGCTACACACTGATGAATCTTGTTCCATAGCACTGGGGGCGATATTCGAACTAAAATGTGTAGTTTGATGTGCTGTTGACTGTACATAGTTTGCTTTATACCTATTTAATAAAATTTTACATATACGTATAGACTAACAATCGAAAGAAATTTTCAGTATTTAGGTACTAGAAGTAAATTTTACCTCTTTCTCTGGAGGCAATTGATGGTCTTCCCGGGGATATCTCCCAGATCCGTAAAATAAAGTAGGGTAAGCTCCAATCTTCAGATGATTTGACGCTGTGTGAAACCTTTGCTCGAAATGTTTATGGCAAAACAAGCATGTTTTTGGTTTCACCCATAAAATTTTCACTACGTATACACTTTAACCACTGTATTTTCCTTTCCTCGTTCTTGGGAATATGATGCAATTTAACGTCCTGTCGTAAACTATTGCATTCGGGTGCACAACACTTTCGATACATTACGAAAACGCCGGCGAAGCTGTATTTGTAGATTAGAAGAGGCGGAAATTAATCAACGCAAACACTTTTCATCAATACAAACAAGCACAATGTCAATAATACTGTATTTGTGGATTTAAAGGGCGGAAATCAATCAACGCAAACGCTTCTCTTCGACACAAAACAAGCAATATGGCGCCCGCGCAAAATGGCGTCTGACTGTAAGAAGCGCGCGGGGTGAAGATTGCAGAGAGGGCGAGAGGGAAACGTCAGTATGCTAACGTGCACTGTCATCACTACGCTTTAACTTTTTCTTAGCGGCTTAACGGGGCGTGATTATACCACTCTGCCCATACTCTGTCATTGTGCCCTATAAAACACCTTCATTCAAAAAGTGACAGTTACACTGTTTACGTTTAGCTGAGTTCTGTGAATAAACGGAGTTTTAAAAAATAATTTGCATATATAAATAATAATAATTTATTTATACTTACTGCAACATTAAAGTTTTGCACATGATATGATAGTTTCTTCAAAACTCCTTTCAAATTCTAGTAGATATGGGTGAGTTTTTCAGCGATGGTTAGTATGTCGAGTTTATGAATTATTTGACCGTTTTCGTGTACGTATAGTAACGTAACCTGTTGTTTTCGATTATAGGAGACCTAACAATGGAAGAGAAATGCGAAAACATGATGAATATAGTTGTGGAATCTCGCAAACGGTTCGGAAAAATGTGTATTGATTATCACCAGAAAGCCTCTCTTATGGAGAACAAAATACTAAATTTACAGCTCGACACGTTCTCTAATTACCGTTTTAAGTCGAAAAACTCTATACCAGACATAAATATCGAAGATATGAATAAGGACATCAACGATTTTACCGCGGAAATATTGGCGAGAAGGAAAAAAATTGATGAGTTAAAAAAAAAAGTTAAAGACACAGAAAACGTTGTTCTTCAGTTGAAAAAAGACACCCTGAGTCAGAAAATGGCTGAACCTCTAACTGTGGACGCTAAATTAGCCAGGGCGAAAGCCAGAGCTGTTGAAAACATGGAAATTTAGAATAGGTTTTAGTTTTGCATTTATTTTGTTTATTATACAACATCGAGTATATAACCAGAAATAGAGACGAAATAAATCTATCCCTGGCCACTCATCAGGCAAATGGGCCTTATATCACTTTTAAATATTAACTCTCGTTTGCGCTGAAATCACAAATTAGAAAGCTGAAATAGTACAGCGCCAACAACTGACCTGTGTGTACATCTCCGTATATTCCAAAAATATTCTGTATTTATTGTAATAAAGATAATATCTCTATGGGGGGCGGTTCTATTCGGTGGTGTGGGTAAAATAGCAAAACATCTAATTACAAAACAAACGGAATCACATTTCATCAGTAATTAAATATTCAATTATAATTTTTCTTATTTCGTCCATTATAGCAAAGCTCAAGTTAAACTGGTTGATTTGAAGTGAAACGATTGATGACACCTGTCAATTGTTTCAAATGTGGGCTGGCCAATCTGAGCGCAGTTGTCATCGTAATGATATGGCAGAATAGTTTTCAAACGAATTAAATGACTTTCGTCTCTGTTTCTGGTTATAATTATATTAGATGTTACACAAATACCTTGTTCAAGTAGTTTTGTTATAATAGAGATGACGATAATTATGTGCTATAGAACAATCACATCCAATTAAATGGCCCTCAAGTCTGTTCATATTAAAAAACCTCGAATTTGTGTGGCCATGGATTGTCAGTGGCAAGACTGTGTGTTTAGTATTTATTAAAAATTAAAAAATAGTAGCTTGTCAGTTGCTAGCCATCGAGCTACTTCTGATATTGCAATTATTTGATATTGTTTGGTACTTTTCAATGGCGAGTCGAAGACATTGTCTACTAATTATTTTACATAAATCGAAAAATCTTCAAATTAAATATTTGTGATTGTAGATTCTCCCTCAGTGAATTCTGTCGAAACTCACTGGTCAAATTTTGAGTAAACGCGTGTGTTCCTTGACGTTGGCAAAATCATCAATTACTTCGATGGGGCCATAACATTTAAAAGAAGAAGATATGTTTGATTTAAAGTCTTAATTGCTACTTAAACGATAAAAATTGAGATATGCTTAGTAATTTCCGTTGTGTTTTTAGTAAGGCAATGCAATTGATCATGTGACTCAATTTCATCAATCATTATGAATGCCATTTGAGATGTGGTGATGGCTTAGCCTATTTAGGGTTCTCTCGACTGCACATCCCACAAATGGTTGCTTAGCAAACAACACCGCTTAAATAATTTAATGTAATTTCAAAGGAGTGTTAAAACCGCTTCAGTTATTGTATACAAGATTTTTAAAGCTATTGTTAATAATAGGTGCTCCATTTATGGATATAAAATAATTGTATGTGCGGTGGTTATATAATTTTCGTTGATATTCTTGTTTAATTTTGCCTTCAGTAACTTTGGGAAGTAAAAATCGCCAATATTCGTCTTTAGCAATGTTGTTTGCTAACCGAGGAAATGCTTATCCTCTGTCTTTTTTAACCGACTTGAAAAAAGGAGGAGGTTCTCAATTCGACTGTTTTTTTTTTTGTATGTAACGCGATAACTCCCGTATTTGTGAACCGATTTCCATAATTCTTTTTTTGTTGGAAAGGGGGTACTTCCAAAGTGGTCCCATTTCATTTTGAAGAAAATTATCCACCTCGAAGGATGGCTGTTCACGCATGAAGATTCATTTTTATAAATAGCGCCTAACTTTAATTTAGGAGCAATTCCTTTTGATTTTTAATTGGTTGATTTTGCTATTACTCCCATTCAAGGCGTTTTTCTCTCAATATACTTTGAGTAGGGTCGTAGTGAGAACCTATTTTTATTATCTCCAGTGTCAAGTCCTGTGTAGTGGCGAACTAGGGGATATTTCAACAAAACTTAGCAAATAGACGTAATTCCACGTACTTTTGAGGTCGGTTTTTTTAGTACTCTGTACTGAGATTATTGCTCCGTATACATATACCTGCAAAAACAAAACAAAAACATAAACTATTTTTCTTTCTTTCTTTCAACTCTTTGGTCACATTGCATTGTGTCTGCGTGCAATGTGACTGTCTGAAGAGAGTAATTATTACGGGCAGGATAGAGGGCAAACAACCTAGACGACGAAGTTCGAAACGATGGTGTGACCAGTATGCTGATTTTAATTGAAATCAGAATCGAACCGATCGAGTAGCCCAAAATTTCTGGCTAATTTCTTTATGACGAAGGAAAACAACTCTTGAAGTGCCTGATGAAAATATTCTTGTATCTTCTTAAAGTATACATTATAAAATCGTTTTACAAATACATATATTCCAAGCAAGGCCCAGTATACTGGGCGTACGGAAGGTTTTTGAAACTTTTTTTCGATTAAAATAGAAAAAAAAATAAGCACCCTATTTTGTTACATTTACGAAGTCAATACAAACCTAAAAAATATTACAGGAATTTAATTGTTTATTTATATTGTATCTCATTGTTCCTTGCCTGATCCCTTTTTTCACACTCTTTCTCCACCTTTTTAATCCGATTTCCAAGCTTTGTTATTACGTTATTAAATTAAAAGATTACCCGTTTCAAAAACGAGACAAGAAGTTTAGTCGAAAACCTTGTTGGCTGAAACGCTAAACACGAAAAGCCAATATAAAAAAAATGAACTGCGTAAAATAATCTTTAGGGTTGCGTCCCCATTATGTTGTGACGACAGAAGGTCGTGCAGTTTAAAGTGTCGTGGCTTGGTTAATTAAATGAAGTTAGTCACAAATAGAACAACAGGATTAATGTCGTTCACAACTTTTTTGACGTTACGACGTCAGACTGTCATGACAAATCTCAAATATAGAGTGTATGATCTATGAGGAATAGCTAGAACGACAGTCGTTTGACGATAAATAAAACGTCACGATAAAAATGTGACGACAGATAATCGTAATTTCAAACGATTCTGTCGTGCAAACGACAAGGCGGTTGCCGTGAACCGATAAATTGTCGTCACGATCTAGTGGGAACAGCTAGACACGACAGTCACTCACCGATAAAATAAATGTCCACGACACAGTTATAGCGATGGGCGAGTCGAGTTATTTAACTCGGTTAACTCGTGTCACTTTTTCATGAACTCGAGCTAACCCGGTTGACTCGCTCCGCTCGCCGCGCGCCGAACCGAATACTTCATTCATACAGCGCGTCGGTGACCTCCAGAGCCCGCTTGAGTCGCGAGAGTCGAGCTATTTAACTCGAGTTACTCCCACAACGAGTCAACTCGAGCTACACTTTGTGAACTCGAGCTAGCTTGGTTGGTTCGGTGACCTTCGGTCATGCTCGAGTCGTGGTCGGCCGGCCGATCGTGTCCAACTTGGTGAATCGTCACTGCGAGTTCTACTCGCGTCTCGCGGTTGCTTTGTCAAACACAACTCGAGTTAGCAGTCAAATCAACTCGAGTTGAAACAAACACAACACGTTCCGTCGCTACAGTTACGACAGATAGTCGTGATACGGGAACAGGCTAGATGCGACTGTCGTCCACCGGTCAATATAACGTTTACATAATAGGAACGCGCCCTAAGCGTCTAGGTTTATGGAAAAAAGGATGGTCTTATGGTCTTTTGGTAAGATTCTATAAATAATAAAAAAAACCTACATATTGACTTAGTTTTCATATTAAAGTTATTCCAATATTCAGATTTCTTAAATGAATTTTGTACATTATTATATTTCGTAATAACTATTGTTGAATCTAATCTCAATATTTAAAAAAATATTCTTCTGGCTTGCACTTATTATTTTATAGCCAGTTGTTAAATCAATGATTTCTTAAAACTTTTGCAGTCGCTAAGCAACCGTTTGATCCATGTCTGACATGAAGGAAAATTCTCAAATTGCTAGCAGTACAGACGTCGCCTTTGCACCAGTGTACTCATATGTAACTGGTTTATTAATTCTGTTAAAAATCGCATTATTGTCTTTCGTAATGGCTAGCGCTAAGGGAGCAGGCATTCAAGGACTGTTCAAGGAACATTGTGTTGTGCCTGACGTCATTTCTGTTGCGCCACAAGAATTGGTGGAGATCAATTTCTCAAATGGCATCAAAGTCGAAATGGGCAAAGAATTAACACCTACTCAAGTTAAGAACCCACCCACAGTGAAGTGGGCAGCTAAGGAATCTGAATATTATACATTAGCGATGGTTGACCCCGATGCACCAAGCCGAGAAAACCCAAAATTCCGAGAATGGCATCATTGGCTTGTAGGAAACATTCAAGGCGGGGACATGAATAAATCTGAAGTTCTCTCCGATTACATAGGATCTGGGCCACCAAAAGGCACTGGCCTTCACCGCTATGTATTCCTTATCTACAAACAGCCCGAAAAGTTAAATTTTTCCCAGGTCCCTAAGCTTCCCAACAATTCTGGTGATAAAAGAGGAAAATTTTCAATCTCCTCTTTCGCTACAAAGTTCGGATTGGGGTCTCCAGTCGCTGGAAACTTCTATCAAGCTCAATATGATGATTACGTGCCAAAGTTATACCAAAAGTTAAAGGGTTAAATATTTTCAATAGAAAAAAACCGGTAATTATTAGTGTGTAGCTTGCTTATAAATTATAAGTAAAAAAAGCGATTGTCTATGGTCTGGTCGATAATCGTTTCCGCCTCCGCGTGACATTCTCATTTTTTCGGCCCAGTGTCCGCCATTACATTTTGGTGATCGCATAAATTGGTCGTTGCTTCTCCGCGAGGATCATTTCACCGCGCATTTTATCAGTGACGTTTTTGGTGTTCGTGCGTAGTATCGCAGCGTTTTGTTGAAACAAAGAGACTGTACGTTCAATCGTATGTCCATCCAGAATCTCAACACATTCGACCCATTCGCCGATGCTATCAAAAGCTCGGAGGACGACGTACAAGATGGACTAGTCCACGTCCGTATCCAGCAGCGGAACGGGCGCAAGACGCTGACAACGGTGCAGGGCCTGTCATCGGAATATGACCTGAAGAAGATCGTGCGGGCATGCAAGAAAGAGTTCGCGTGCAACGGTACTGTTGTGGAGCATCCGGAGTACGGAGAGGTGCTTCAGCTGCAGGGCGATCAGCGCGAGAACATTTGCCAGTGGCTCACCAAGTCGGGGCTCGTGAAGCCCGAGCAACTTAAGGTGCACGGCTTCTAAGCCGATCATGTTGACCGCATCTGAACGTCATTGCATAGTCATCAGATTATGAGAGCGAACGCGTTATAACCCTAAAATATGTACATAGAAAGCACAGATGTCTACAGAGAGTGCGGTTGCGAGGCCGCCATCGCCGCCCCGTGCCTTGCTCCCAAGAATAAAGATTAAATAATTCATTATCCCCATTCTTTAGTTGCAATTGTCCGAACGAAATATTTAATAGTTATACTTTTTTTTATGACATAATTTTTAAATTGCTGTAATGATTATATGATGTGTCTCAATTAATAAACATGTTTTTGTATGTATTCGTTTCATTTGAGATAGAAAAACATCTGTGTAGCATAAGAATAATATTGTAATGATTTCATGCAATTTGCACATTAGTGAAAGTTGGCGCCGGTGGCAACAGTACAAATTCCGTTTCATTCTTTGCACACAACGAATGAGTCTGCCTGCTCGAGTCTTGGTAAAAAAATATTCCTAACAATGAATTTTACAACTTCTAGAACGTTTAAGAAATCGCAGAACCTGTTGTTAAACAAAGCCTGTTTATTTACTTATAAGTACATCATTAGTGTTATTTATCATTAATTAGATTTTAATTATCACGCTCCACTTGAATGGCATGCATAATTTGTTTCGTTGCTATACAAATACATAATGGAACTTTTTGTAGTGTAACAAAAAGAAATGAGATCATGGAACTCTACAGGTGTTAGTTTCGCGGACGGATTTCGTGACGTTGAGCTGGACTGATAAGGATACTTGAAAAGTGAGTCATGCCCTCATTATGCGTGGCAATGTTGAGGTCAAGCACTTCAATATAAAGATGACAACAGCGAAATATTGCCACACACTTATGACTTGAGGTAATTTTCCATTTCTTTGGCGCCTTTTTGCAGAACACCTGACCAAACTTAAAAACCTTTCAACAACTAGTGGAAGTGGTGGATACATTAATAAGTTTGTTAAGCTTGATTTAATTTATTATTCTGAAAACAATGTAGTAAAAACATTGAAATTTTCTTAAGTTTCTCTCGAATCAAAAATAAAACGCAATCTACCGGTGAACTGTAAAACTAACATGACCTTAGAGAAACAATGCAAGTAGTACATAAAACTCGTAATAGGTGACGCTGTATTACAGCTGCGTTTAAATTATTGACATTGATGAAATTCCGAATTACTCTTTGACTACCACACGAGAAAACCGGTTTTTATGTATTTAAGGAAAATATAGCATTTTAAAGCTTTTTAAAAACTCATCTTCAAGAAAACATTAAGTCGCTTCCTAAAAATTTCGAAAGGTTAAGTTGATTAAGATAAAATATTGTAAATATTGCAACAAATGGAAATTTGATTTAATTTTATATGTTTAAATCGGTTTGACTTGCTAATTTTGAACGCGGTTATAACAAATGACAACTGACATAATTCGTCATTTCAAGAATTTCGTCAATATTACTGAAAAATATTGATAACTACCGTTTACGTACGAAAATATTAATTAAATATGCTATAATTATTATCTCTTATTCAGAAACTCATACTATACTACTCAACTATACAATATTTCGTGTAAGTTTTTCTAAATTCATTGCATTCGTACATTGTATAAGTTTTGATACGTTTTAATATTATATTTATTTGGATTTTATAGTGAGGTTGTAGTTAAATAAGGTGGTAAAGATGTCAGATAAGGCTTTGACGCTCGGTCAGCGCGTCCTAGTCGTCGGGAAAGACGTGAAAGGTTCCGTCGCTTATGTTGGATACCCGACTTTCGCTACTGGAAAGTGGATAGGAGTCATCTTGGACGAGGCGAAGGGGAAGAATAATGGCACTGTCAGGGGCCATGCGTATTTTACGGTCAGTTATAACTTTGTATGTTTATAAGATATTACTAGACATAACTTATTGCTTTTTACTTATAGAGATCTAAGTCCAAAAAATGACGATGTCTTCATTTAATGGCCGTATATTCGGCTGCTTTTATTTACTCTCATCACTTACTCTTTCTTGCCGTAGTGCTCATGTTGATTTAATAAAAAATGTTCTATGTATATAAATTTGTTAGTATACTAACATACATGTTGTTGATACTTCTGTATGTCAGGGTTGTAAGGCCTCATTCAGAGGTATAGCGACAGTAGGGGCCTCGGAAGTAATTGAGGGGTGTTGATAGTGTCCAGGGGGTGCTATCACATTTGAAAAAAAACTTGTATTATCTATATAAACTACACTACATATATATATATATCCATTTTTTTGTGTTAGTTACTAATAAATATGTGTTTTCAATAATGTTTCGTGTTGCCATGTGTTGCAATTTTTTTATCTTTCCGAAAGGTGAGCGAAACAGTTTGGGAACCTTTGATTTAGCTGAGTGTATAAAAAAATTTTTAAATCACGCTCACCTTTAGCATGTTTTCCGGATGTGGCACGTGGCGTCCATTTCTCACAATTACCTTACAACTCTGTGCAATTACATTCATTACATAAGTGTACGGTTTGTTATACTAACATTGTCACATAAAAATAAAAAATACAATTTGTCGAGTTCTTAGGTGTTCGCGATTGTTACACATAGGAAATGAAACTATTTTTCCGGATTTAAATCGCGTATATTTGGTTTTTCAAACAAACCGAAGTTTCGGGCCCTATACAGGTCCCATGGTTTTTTGTTTTAAAAAACAAATATACGCGATTTAAATCCGGAAAATAGTTTCATTTACTAAATACAATTTGTTTGAAAGAAAATTTTCATTATCCAATGAAAGGAGATTTGGTCAGATATAAAATATTCAGTCACTATGTATCACTTTATAGACCTGCAGGTTAGTGCTCCTAGAATTGGGGACCTATTATTTGCAGGTTTCTCATTGAGTAATTCCAAGACTCATGCCATGAGGTAGGCAGAGACTCCTGATGTCCTTTTAGCATAATGACAAACCTCTCTCGTTTGATTTATTCATAAAACTTTTCATACAGGCCCCCTTATTCCCCCTAATTCTTCTCACTAAATACTATGGCCTTATTAAGAACACTTTTAATTTGTTCATGAGAATGTTCTTTGTGGCCGTCCTCTTTCAATGAATCCATTCATGTTGGACCATGTGAGCGAGCCGCTGCAGTACATACTTTTTTATATAGTTTAGTTTTTTATTCTTTTAAATTTGTATTCTTTTTGTTATTTTGTTCACCAGTTCTCATGTAAAAATCCTGGATAAACTATGTTTCTTATGAACCCAAAAAATTTTTCCCTCTATTTAAAACACACTAGACAAGTGACTAGCCAATATATTCTGGCCTTTTCTTTCCTTAATTTACATTCATTCATCTGCTCCATGTGCCTAAACTTCGTCAACATACCCTTTTCTATTTTTATTTATAAATAATTGATAAAATCATTTCAGTGCGATGAAAACTACGGCGTATTCGTCCGACAAACACAAATTCAGCTGTTAGACAGTGGCGACAATCCCATGGAGACTTCTATGACGTCCTCAGCGGAGGAGCCAAGGGAATCCAAGGCTTCAGCACCTGGACGTAGACTTAGCAGGTATGTTGTACATTAATTCTGTTTTTGTGTGTGGTTTTTTTTGTTTAATTTTCTTTCTTGCAGTTGAGTAGACAAGTCATAACATTATATATTACAACATTTATTTATCAACATAGTTAAAATTTCGTAAACTTCGTTCGTCAACCATGCCCATGGGACCTGTAAAGGGCCCGAAACTTGGTTTGTTTGGATAAACAAGTGTACGTGATTTAAATTTAAAAAAATTGTAACATTTCCTTGTAAGCTGTTGGTTATTCACGACGAATGACGTAGTATTATTCTCTCAGCCATGGCTGTCACGACAATGAGACAAATATGGTAACTCCTGACAAACCTAGAAGCTCTAAATATTGTTACTATGGTGCTTCTATAAGCACCCAGTCTGAAGGAACCCTTAGTTAAAAAAGTATTTAACTTTGTAACTTTTGTAGCCCATTATCGGCGAATGGTCCACACCGCACCTGTGCCGCAGTCAAATGGTACACAATATACATTCGTTACAAAATGTAATTTCTATTTCTGTACTATTGGCTAAGAGCGTTGACATTGTGATTGTCTTGTTGTTATTTTTCTTACCATCATCAAGCTTGGAGAAAGATCCTCTAAGGAGACGGTTAAGGTCATAGTGATTACAAATTGAAGGACCTACCAAGAAAGAAGTACCTGTGACAATGCACTTTTATTAACTAAGAAGAAGCTACGGGTTCGAATTGGCTAAATCAATGCGTCCGCGTAAAGCGAGGTATTACTGTATTTTTTTAACCAAAAAGTTTGGGAACCTATGATCTACATTAATATGAGACGTTTTTCTATTTAAATTCAATCATTTAAACCAGCTCATATTCAAAGCTAAGCTGCTGTCGTCGGTCTGCCGTCGAACGTCGACGAATAGTGATGAGAAAAACCGATTCTAATCATATTTTAATTTATGTTTTCAGTCTTTTATGTGCAGTATTTAATAAATTATGAATTAGGAAATACTGTTTATGGAAAAGTAGATACAAGTGATATATTTATATTTAAAAAATATTTAATTATAACTTGGAATAATTAGTAAAAATCTCTGAATAGTATGCAGCCAAGGCCATTAAACTAAAAAAATCTTTACACTAATTAATTAATCCAACGCTTCATTTGAATTGCCAATTTTTGGAAGTTCAAACATAAATGCACTGCATTTACAATTGTGTCCATTAAAAATACAAAGAGACGTCTTTTAAAGTTTTTTATTTTAATTCAATACATATAATCAAATCCGCTTGTTCTTATTAAAATGTATATGAATAAAAATTAATTTATATACTTGTAGGCCAACTGTCAAATAAAAATAAAGAAGGCAATAACATAATTCGACGCCTCCTACGTAAAGTATCGTATGTCGCAATTGCCAAGTTTACAGGGGAGTGTTTTAAAGTTCTCCGTTTCATTTAGCAAAGCTTGTTACTCACATAGAGTGATCATCTAATAGATCATCTAACCGATATCTAGGATTTTATGATACTCAACGTGTGTTACGAGATTTGCCTAATAAAAGTGAGAAATCTAAAGTCACGTGTTATGCTTATTTCAGTGAATTCAGAACTTTAAAAGGCTCCCCTGTAAACTTGGCAATTTTGACATACGATACTTTACGTGGGAGGCGTCGAATTAGTAATCACTAGAATATCATATTTGGAAAAAAATTACCGTCTTTCACAATCTATCGATAAATCTGTCGACAACAACTACATTATTATTTAAAATTTTATAAATACTGGCAACCCTGCAAATATAATTTTACTCTGTTTTTAAAAAAGACAGTATTTATTGTCACTTCGCCAGCGATTTTTTTTCTGAGTGTAGTAACCACAAAAGCCTGTAGGTGGCGGTTATAACTTTCCATCATGTAGATCGCCTGAGATTCTACGGCGATTAGTATACCGTAAAATAATCGCAGTATATTTTATTAGACAAGGTTTTAGACTACCTAGATTTCTAGCATAGAAAAAACTAGCATAGCATGTGTGGCTAACGGAGTGTTTTTGTTTGGCTAGTATAACAATGGCGCAGAGGTCTAGGCCAACCACGTAAGTATTAGAACTTTAGGTATTAGCACTCAAATAGAGCTTGTGCACCTTTGTTTTTTTTAAATGGATCTGGTGTCGATTCTGTATTTTTTTTTTAACAAATACTAAATTTAGTTCAAAAAGCGTTTTTTAGTAAGTCAACTTTATTCCTAAGATAGTGGGTGTAGTAATAACACACACACTTATAACTCCGCACCCTATATCGCGGGTGCTATGGACACACAAAGACAACCACAAATTACCCCCGAACTCACGAGAGAAATAAACGTAGGACATACACATATTTGTCCAGGCCCAGGAATCGAACCCGGGACCTCTGCGTGGCAGACCAGCATGGTAACCGTTCGGTCACTAAGACAGTATTAGTGGGTGTCTCTGAGTGGCACTGCAACTGTTATGGACAGGCATGTAGCTTACCATCAGTTGCACGACTTCTTCGTTCCGTCACTTAATATTATGAAAAAAGTTCCAACGTGCGAGCGTCCTTTGCAACGACCCCCACACTCGCTACTGTGTTTTGCATCGTGCTGGTATTTACACTATTGTTTTCTTGTGTTACCACCGTTTAAAGCGATCTATTTCAATACTATTGTACAAAAATGATGAATAATTAAATGTTATGGAAGAAAAGATGTTATTTATGATGTTAGTAATATAATCCTAACAACATAAAAAAAAAACAAGTATTTCTTTTTTAGTTTTGACATATTGTGCCGTGGCTTACTAAAATAATGATAACATATAAAATTTGTTAATTCAATTTAAAATTACATTCAGAATCGCCACCAGTATTTGCTAGTAAATAAATGTGATTAAAAATTAACAAATAATCAACCCTGGGTCTAATTAAGAGCAAGCCGGTTATCAATTTACTATAGTTATCGTATAACATTGGTTTATCAATATGAACACTTTTTACTATTTTTATTATACTACCCCTTCGAATTTGGTGAAAAATTATGTCTCCCATGTATTTCGAGTAAGTATGAATGTTTAGTACTGAAAAGCTGGTATTTATTATATCATTGGAATGGGGCCTCTCATAGTAATTTTTTTTTAAATTGATAGATAGTATTACCTTCTATACTATAGTAAAACAAATCACCCCATGTACTCGGTGTATAATTTCCTACTTATAATGTTATTGTTAAAAATCTAATTATATTATGTATTTATTTTGTATGTGTAATGTTATTACTAATGTTTTACTAATAAGGTCCCAATTTGACATTTAAATTCTTCTGAAGTATACCAAGAGATGATCCTAACCGTCTAACGTGAAAATGAGACTAAAGTCCAAAGTATAGGGTTAAAAACTCTATAACACGTATGATAAGACAATTTAAAGTTCAAAGACCTCAACTTTCTGTACTAAAGCTCAGAGGGAAATATTGAAATCTATATAATTTTTAAATCCATTTCTGAAATTCAGAAATTGAAGCCTAGATTTCCGCATTTGACGCCAGACTTTAAATTAGACGACTATGTGATTAAATTCTACTGATACAGAATGGATACAGTGGACAGCACGCTGGACGACTGGAGACTATGAATCTTCTTATTATAAATGGAATAGAGTTTTTAATACTCAGCAACTTTAGTCCGTTATGTCACCAAACAATCTCCTTAAATACATATAAATAAACCTATTAACAAAATGTCAATTGGGCTCTAACATTAACACTGGTGGTCATGCGGCAAGGGTTCGCCGCAAAGCGTCGCCTGCGCAGACCAAAGCTGGCACCCTCTCCATGTCGAGGTAATTTTGTTATAAATGTAGACTTATACCCACTTAGTGTCACTTGGTGTTTAGGAAGGTGTTATGAAACTTCATCGGCTTATTGCAATCTGTTATTTGTAATACTTCACTTTTTTTGGTTTATTATAAGATGTATCTGTTAAGGACAAAGTCCGCTGGCGCATTGGCTCATTACATTGTACTCAGTTTAGATGTGTTTTAATTTCGCATCATGTAATCATTTGAAATTATTATAAATGGCTTAAATTAAGTATAATACAAAGAGAAACAAAATAAAACTAGCGCCTGAGAATTTTAAAGAGCAATGTCTCTCTTTTGTAAATTATTTCTCCGGGCGTTTTTATAGGGCCTTGATGGGTCGCCTTTAACCAATTAAATAATTAATATTGTATGTAATTTTTCTCAATAATAACCCCACCCTCTTGTGTTACATATTTTTAAAACCGTATTCGAAGTTTTAACATTTTTAAATTAAAGTTTCTGTTATGTAGCACCCCCGTAAGTCTCATAGCACTTTCGAAATTGTAGTTTGAAACGCACAGCACTGTTTCTTTTTTTTTCCCTGTATTTATTATTCTAAATGCACTTCTGGTTATTTGGACAAATGTTAGCAACATTAAGTCGGGAGGCATTGTCGAAAAATTTCTAGGTTGTATTTTTGTAGCACGGTAACATCGCACACTGTTTTACGTTACGCGCTTTTTTTGTCTTTTTATCTTATTGGAAAATACATCTGTAGGTGGAAGGTAAAGGAGTTTAAGTCTAATATTTTGAAATTTAAATGCTTTTACAAACATTGCTTTAGAAGCTAATAATCATGCAATAGTAAAAGACTTTAAATCCTATCGTCGTTTGTTTTTCTTTAACAAATGCCTAATTAAGAGCCTCATTCTCGCTCTGAAAAATACTGTTTGGAACTAAGGTTCTTTACCTTTCACATTCAGAAATAACGTTATTACTGATGTTTCATTTTCTTTGTGACTAATTCATATTGCACAGTTTTTGTATATGACACGAATTAATAAAAATTACAAATAAAACGAGAGTAACCTAACCTCCGGTTAAAAAAACCGACCTCAAAAGTCATTCATCCCCTAGTTTACCACACTTAGAGGTGGAATATTTTCTTGAAATTTAAATGGGACCACATCTGAGGTACCTTCTTTCCAACAAAAACCATCAAAATTTGTTCACAAATGGCGGAGTTATCGCGTAACATACCTACAAAAAAAAACATACAGACGAATTGAGAACCTCCTCCTTTTTTTAAGTCGGTTAAAAAGAAAGCGAATATTTTAATTAAGAGAGTTTTGTAAGTCACTTGATCGAGATACGAAAGTAATGTTGGTGAAATTGTCTTGAAATTGAGTAACAGTGATCCTTGTAAAAGAGTTGTAAAAGTACTGTCACCGTAACTATTTCTGCCGCCAAGCAGTAATGAGAGCATGACTGCGTTTCGGTTTAGACGGGTAAAGGTGTTGGTGAAATTATAGGCACATGGGACTTGTTAACTTAGGGTGACGGGCGCAATGGCAGTGCCCATAAGATCTTTGCGCTTTAAAGCTCTGAATGGCACTGCAACTGTTGTGGAAAGGCGTGTCGTTTACCACCAGGCGCACGACTTGTTCGTCCCGCCACTTGGTATTTAAAAAAACAGTCTATAGACGATTTTGCTTTGTTCAGTCGCTTGTCACTAAAGACGTGGCGGTTTTTTTTTAATTTCACGGTATTCCATTAATTAAGTCCGCCATCAGGGAACTAGACGTATTTTGGGGTACCGCTCCTGTGTTGTGGATATAGGGTGTCCGAAATGTAAACAAAGAGGATAAACGAGTAAAACACATTTTAAATGGTAGTCTCCTATTTTGACGATATTTAGAACTTTTTTAAAGCTGTAATCTGATAGAAATTAGAACAATTCACATTTTTAACCGACTTCAGAAAAAGGAGGAGGTTCTCATTTGGACCGTATTTTTTTGTATTGTATGTTAGGCGATAAATATGTGATTGGTAAACCGATTTTGATGATTCCTTTTTTTTGTTGGAAAGAGGGTGCCTCAGTATTGGTTCCAATTAAATTTGGAGAAAATATTCCACCTATAAGAGATCGATACGAAATCTGATTCATCCCCTAGTCATAGTTTGTCACTAGGGGATGAATCCGATTTCGCGCTCTTTCCGGCAACCGATTTTAATAAAATCACAGGGCCGGATTTTTTTTTTTTTTTTTTTTTTTATTTTAAACACTAAGAATATTACAAAAATATATATACATCACACCCTAACGTAAAAAAAAATGGTCCAAATGTTGGTTCCCCGGCTCCTTTTTTTGAAGTCGAATAAAAACTGATGCTGGATGAGATATGGAGTAAATTAATATAATATCTTTCTGTATTGTTTCATCTACTAGTACATAATTAATTATTTTATTCATAAATTATACGTATCATTAGGTAATTTGCAAACTTTTTGATAATTATAGATCCGATACGGTTTTTACGGATTCCCAAGTAGGTGAAAAGTCCAAAAATAATAAATGTTTTTTTTTTGTTGAGTTCTACATCGAATTTGCCTAGAATATTATTTAATAACATAAATGTCTACGATAAAGTGACTTACGGCATTCTGTCGAGTGTTCATCATTTGTAATGTTTATTCTCTGACCTTGTTATGTCCTTGGTTTTTGGTTCTAAAACACAAATTATATAATAAAACAAGCAACAGTACAGCTCTAATTTTTTTATTGCAGCAATGTATATATTAGAAGTTTTAATACGCTAAAAGTAACTGTCTAGCTTTGTACAATGCCCCTAATAATTTCTTTTGTTCTAAAACGTTGAATAACTGTAAGAGTGTATAGTAAATGTGTTTGTGTGTTTGCGTAACCCCTATGCTTTTATACGGTACTTAATAAAAATAAGACATGTTTAAAGTTCAGAAAAAGCAGTATACCGTCGCCTTAGAATGAAAACCACTCATACGTGTTTTCAACAAAGTTCGATTTACTGATTTTTGTTGAAAAAAAATTGTAAACTTATTGCTTATATATATTATTAAAGTAATATAGTATCTGAAAGAGGTATAATTTAACCAATATAATAAAATGCTAACTACAAACATTATTGCGTTTACTACATTTTTCAGCACATTTTTGTCCTGAAAAATTACATAGAAATCACGATCGAAGTATTCACTGTAAGACGATGATATTCATGTAATAAGTGTCATAAAGAAGAAAAGAAGCAAAACGCGCAACTTCTTTTTCGTTCTTATTGCATGAACATAAAGCTATTATATATACGCGCTCGACGGCGACACTCCCATTAAAGCACACGCACACATTCGCAAAAATCCACATCTAAAGAAATGGCGGCCGAGAAGTCGGAATAAATTGGGTTATAAAATTATTATAATAGCAAATTAATACAAAATATGGCTAATTTCTATTTTGTAAATCTTAACGATAAATAGTTATTACATATGTATTATGATTGGCTCTGGTTTCGCGTTAATAAGTATGGTGGCTCTTTTACGAAGCCATAAGGTCTGGATGGATGGATTCTTAGCAGTAAAGCTCCTTGTGAAGAGTTCGTCTAGGGAAGTACTGCAACTTTATGTATTTCTGCTGCCAAGCAGTAATGTCAGCATTACACTGTCATTCTCTGACTAGTGTTCACTACCTAATTTCAGTGGCAATTTTTATTATTTAAATATTCAAGTATATTAATCTTTTAGGCCGTAGGAGAGGCGAGAGCCTAAAGTAGATCTAATAATAATAATAATAATCTATCCTCAGCAATAGACCTGATATAACACTAACGTTAAATCTACAAAGACCACCTACCTCATAGATATTGCCGTTCCCAGTACAAACAACTTAAAACACACTGAAAAAATACAAAAATACATACCTTTAGCAGACGAAATCAAACAGATGTGGCACCAAGAAACCATTAAGATAGTCCCCATTATAATTTCGTCAACTGGTATCATACCGAAAACCCTTCATACCGCCTTAAAAATGATAGATCTGCACCCTAAAACCTACATACCTCTACAAAAGTCAATTGTACTAGACGCCGTTTCTTAAATACACCTGATTAAAAAAACTCCACAAAAAATCCCCACTCACTCACATCCCCACACAATACCACAACCGAACCAGAATACTTGGCTTAGGCCCGTACCTGGTTCCAAATATCCGACCATCAGTCGAGTACAAGAAAAACAATAATAATAATAATAATATTTTTTCCATTCATATACACAACAGCAAAATAAAAAATCAAAATCAGTAGGTATGTTATATAAAGAAACCTTATTTCTATTATTTATAATATTATCGTGTAATGTTAAATAATATTTCCCGATACAATATTAAATAATATTGTACGATAAAAAAATCGAATCGTTCACAAATATCGGAATAACCGCGTCCACAAAACAAAAACAGTCGAATAGAGCCTAAAAATAGGATGTACTGTAAAAGCAAGGGGTATGCGATAATACATCTAGATATCCATTGACTTACAAATAAATGGACGACGGGTCTAATACAAAAACCACGAAAAAAATGTCCCAAGTCAACCTATTTAAACGTAGTGACATGTAAAGGAATATGAAAAAGCTAAAACGTTGAATTTAAATTGCAATGTCATCGCAGTACTGTCTAATTTTGCTTGCTTCGCTGTCAGTCGAACAAACGAAGATGACGCTCTGTATACGATTTTAACGCCCTATAAGTTCGGACACTTTTTAGCGCGGACCCGACGTCCAT